CACACACACACACACACACAAACACACACACAGGCGACCGGACATCTTCTCCATAAAACTAATAATATGGCGTAATAATTGGGCAGTTCGATGTGTCTAACCCATAGGCCTAACCATAAGAAAGTATATTGTGCGCCAGGGGTGGACTGGGATTTCCGGGACTACATTGGGAATACCGGGTAAACTCCCGGTATTCCCAATGGCCAGTCCGCCCCTGTCGTGCGCACAAATTAATAAAACGTGGCCCTCGTTTTATTTATTCTCTTTATGAACCCTCCAGGGCTCCGTAGCTCTAGCTAGCTGAACCAGGAATGTTTTTTATAACCCAAGAGAATACAGTAGGCTATGTCTTTCTATTTCCTCTGGTGTCTCAGTAGGCCTATGTCTGAAAAATACATTCATTCATTCTGTTCACTTCAAGTCACTTATTTAATTTAAAGTATTATGAGCTGTATTTGGATGTCTGGAAAAATATATATTATTTCCAGTTTGAAAGTTTAGTTAAAGGGCAGTGGCCCACACACCACAGCACACTGCCAGCAGAGTTCTCCTCCTCAGAGGCAGCGTAAGGACATTTCTACTCCACCATGTGGGGACATTCAGCAGGAGCTCTCTATGGCCATCTCCTGGCGAGTGTGTCCAATTACATCTCCCAGGTCTATATACAGTCTATGGTCTCTACCGTAGAATTTGGCCCAATTACAATCCGGCCCTGCACTCCATTACTCCCCCCTTCACGTGGTCAGAGATGGGAAGTAGCTAAGTAGATGAACTCAAATACTGTACTTAAGTACAATTTTGAGATACATGTACTTTAATTTAGTATTTCCATGTTATGCTACTTAGTACTTCTACCACACTACAATTCAGAGGTAAATGGTGTATTTTTAACAGTGGTGAACCGTCAGGGCCTTCAAGGTATTCAGAGAATACTCAGATAAAATGTTTATAAAATGTCAATACAATTAATAAATGAGAATTGTATCTGTGTTGTTGATCTGTAATATTAGAGTGTTACTCTGATTTGTTTGTCTTTCTCGGTCCATGCACTACGCATTTGAGTGGTTTTGTGTTAGAAAAAAAATGCAACCAATCAGATATTGTTCTGGGTCTCTATATCCTTCAACCAAGGTATTCTATATCCTTGATAGAATGCCCTGGCCCTTACGTATCGTCCACACGGTTCCGTCACGTGCTTCAACGGAGACGCTTCCCATTCACTTTGAATGGGGTGACGTCACGTTTTGCCGAACTGCATTGTGGTTCCGTTGCTTCACTTTGCCTCCGTTGCTCGCGCTGAAAGTTGAGAAAAGTTCAACTTTTCAAACGTAGATGGAAGCGCCAGCCAATCAAATCATATGCCACTACAAGCGCTAGCCAATCAAACCGCGTGCTTGTGTGTCCGGGGCGAGAGATTAATGTGATTGGTTGTTGGTCGCGCGCCAGACACACCCACCAGCACTCTTCAACGCGACGGACGATACGTTACGTAACGTACACACGGTTCCGTTCAGGATAGCCCTTAAGGTCATTATTTGATCTTAAGGGCTATACTGTATAAGGCCCTAAAGCAACTTCTCCATTATATGTATCAAATGCACACATTGATGCCACCATATGACACAATAAAAATAGAAAGTACTACAAATAAACTGGATTTAATTTACATCTTCAATTATTAACATACACAAAACATTTTGTAGGGCTGCGCGAGTATGGCCAAAAGTATGAGTAAATCTCATTGTAAACTATTTAATCATCACTAAATTCGGTGATATGACTGATCATAACTCTTAAGCAAACACATACATTTAGCATGGTTTAAGAAACGGGCTCCGTGTTACAAGACGGGTCGGGGGGTTTGGGGGCCCCGCTGCAGACTCTGAACGGAGGAGCCGCAGCAGAGGAGTCCGGGTGGTGCTACAGCTCCTGATCGGAGCAGACACACGTTCACACACACCTTAAAGGAGGAGCATCATTCAGCAGACAGTGAGGCTACAGACAGAGTTCACTCTGTCACGTGGGGGTGGGGGGGCCGGGATATATGTGCCAGTTTGGGGTTGGGGCTGTATAAGACACCAACATCCTTAGCTAACATGTGCTCATCAGTGCTTAAAGAGGCCCTATGATGCTTTTTGGAATGCTCACTTTCCTGGCGTGTGTTCAATACGTTTTTGTGCATGTAGATGGTCTGCAAAGACTCACATTAGAGGTGCTGCAGCCCAGGCAGTAAGAGAAAAATAAAGAGCTTTTTGAACATTAAAGCATGGAGACATGTCCCGACGGAGACACTGAATATTAATATGATCCTAGAAGTATCCCCTCATGAGCTCAAACAGATACACACGGCCATTTTCACTGTGTGGCAAATGACAGTGAGTGCCCCATTTATTGTTTTTCAAACCAGTAAACATAGAAGACGGTGACTTTAAAACAATCACATACAAGACATGGTGTCAAACAATAAAATATAAAATATCATTTTATATTTATATACTGTATACCCAAACAAATGAACATTGCAAGTTTGCAAAAGCTGGAATGCTCAAGAACATCAATGACTTTAAATATATATATTATAGATATATAAGGTACATTTCATATACATAGATTCAAAATGGACTTCTCCATTGCTTGATTCTCTCTACAGTCCTTTCCTGGCACATTGCACATAACCTCAGGAATCATAAATAAGTTAATTTCTTGGTCAAGGATGCAGATTATTATTTTAACCTGACTAGAAGTTGTAGATCAGTGCAACCTGGTTTACACCTATAAGCATGGTTGTGTGATATCTGAGGGACTGGTGCCAATGCTGCTGGAAACTCATTAGTTGTGATGAAGCTCCACTGACCCACAACCCCCTGCTAGAGATGCTCCAAAGTACTTGCAACCGTACACACTGCCCCACTGTGATTCAACTCAAAGTTGTGTTGCCTGTGCAAAACTTTACACACCACTAACCATGTGAATGTGCATTAGCAATACATCGACAAAGTCAGCAAAAGAGCCAACCAGGGAACAAGATATGTCTCAAGACCAAATGCAGTGCAGGTAATGACTCTGAATCTCCAAACAGCAGCAGGAGATGCAGTGCATAAAAGCTAATGTAGTCTTTTAAAGACAATACAAAGCCTTTTCCATTTCGATGCAGCCATGCTTATCAGTCTGAATAATGTAAGTGTGATCATTCAAATGCTGTTGATACACAGGGTAATTGTTCTTCTTGCTGCACAGAATTGTTCTTACAGGCATAAGAGGCCTGTGTCGTTCAGTGTGCTGAATTGAAATTGAATGGAAACTAAGCCAAACTGGCAAAGTTTGTTTTGCCCCACACTCTTGGATATACATTGATTTTTTTACCATTTGCATGGAAGCATCTCTAGCTGCAGCCCTGTCACACGTGCAGAACATAAGGCATGAATCAGCAGTTTCTTCTCAACGCTCAATCCAGGTCCACACTTCAACATTTAAAGTAAAGGCAGTTTTTTAAAATAAATACACGCTATGGTCCCCTCACTGCCTTGTTTGCTACATCCTATTGAGGTAGACAGATGCATACTGCAGTAGTCACCATGCCAACTCCACCCTCCCTGATGAGGCAATATTTATCTTAACCAGCAGCAAAACCTTAGTAGTGCACATTAGCATGACATGATAAGCACATACTTTGTGGATGTTGCAGCTCTGTAATACTTAAGTTACTGTTCCCATATCGTTACACAATACATTAGCCATATTGTGCATCATTAATAATGACAAATCAGTTTAGTAGAGCTGAAAAGGCTGCCAAAATATGGCCGACTATTGCACACATCCATGCTTTGTAACAGACAGAATTGGTCAGCTTTCGTGTTGCCTTGCCGGCTGTAACCCTTAATGATATCTCCCTACAGATCAGAAACACTGGGTCGTTACAGTGTTTCTCTGATGTTGTACTTCAATGAACAACCAATGGCAGTTTCCAGGCACTCCACCAGGGAGCCTGCGGAGAGGAAGTCCAGCTCCACCTCGATGAATTTTATGTAAATGGCAAAATGTTGAGGCGACTCGTCACCTCCGTCACTACTCTGGTTTGTGGTGGCACCGCGGCAGTTCTCCTGCAGGAAACAGGTCACAGCTGGGGGCTCACCATGGCCGTAGTGTTTGCCAGAGCCCTGGAAGTGCTGGAAGAGACTCTGCTGTATGGTCCTCTCCTCGGCGATGCCCAGGTAGCAGTATGTGACATTTGCCCCAGTCCTGTACCAGTTCTGTGACCCTCCCCCTCCATCAGCCTGACCCCTCTCTGACTCACTCTGAGGTAGCTCTTCACTGTCGTTCTGGGGAAAGATGTGAGCGGTGTCGTTACAACATGACACCGCCTCATAGCCGATAGCGTACAGCCCGTAGGCCTTGGGGATGTCCACAGGGAGGAGGTAGTGGGACGTGTCTCTGCTGCAGCCTGCTGCTCTGGACTGGGACACAGGGATCCACTCCACCTCCATGTGCAGCTCCAGGCAGCGCGCCTCACTGATGGTGATGTCCAGGAACTTGTAGTAGACATTCTTCCAGTTCATCTTCTGAACTTTGGTCATGATGACACGGCCCTCCGGCTTCTCTGGGTTGAAGTACTCACGGAGCCTCTTGCCCAGCGGGACCTGCGAGCTGATCTCAGCGTAGTGGTAGCGCACGTCCTCTCGCCAGCGGGTGTTGTAGCCCACACCGAAGATGGCCAGTTTGTTGGAGAGATGCAGCCGGGAGAACTCGGTCCAGGTCTGGAAGTGCTCCCATTTCAGCTGGACCGACTCCAGTATACGCACCACCGTCTGCATCATGTCCCTTTTTCTGCAGAGAACCCAAGATACATTATAATGATGACGTAATAAAATAAGTTTTACATTTTATAAAAGGGCCAAACAAGTCGTGACCAGACACAATTATTCAAATGTGTTCTCCTGTTTACTGGAGCTTACGTAGGAAAAAAACGACTTTCAGAAGGTCTCTCATTCTTTTGTGCACCCTTTGACACAGTATTCAGGGGATGAACTACAATTATTAAACAAATAACTACAAAGAAGTTAGGAGGAGATTCCTTAAAGTCTCTGTGTGTAACATTTGATCAATTCTGGCTTTAGGGATTACCTGTGGTAGTATCAAAAAGACACTCTGGCAGACAGCACCGCATATGGACACAGATTCAAAAATAAGATAAATCCAAGCTTAATGACATCTTAAAGCTAAGATAATATGTGTTGTATTGTACGAGTATGAACTAATGCTTTTGGGATACAGGGCCCTGTCCTGTTTTCACTGGCAGAGAGAACATCTCGTTCGGAGAAGTCGTTAAAAATCATTGGAAAAATGACAGTGTTGGCTTTTCAATAGTGTTTTGCAAAGCTTTATATCAAACATGTTCCATTCACAAAGACAGAGTGCTCCATTGTTCTAGTTGACTTACTGCGTTTGTTCGGACAGCTCTATTTGAATCTGCAGAGCTCTGTTTTTAGGCACCTGGATTTCTTCTAGAGGGAAAACAAACACACATATTAGCTCAAACAAACTCTTCCTGTGTTTCTTCTGCCATCTGTCCTCTCACTGCTCACTCACCAGTCTCCATGTCCCCCTCCTGGAAGGCAGAGTCCAGCACCTGGTTGCACCAGTCCTCCTGGGAGAAGTCCTCCAGCGTGCTGCTGTCAGACTCCATCTCCTGGTACAGCCCGCTGCTGTTGATCAGTACGGGGGCGCAGCTCTGGGAGTCCCAGCCCCCCTGACCGAACACCTTCTCCAGCTGCTCGATGGTGTAGCTACTCTTCCTCTTGCCGATGCCGTGCTCCTTCACACGGCTGTAGCAGCGCCGCAGCGTCTGTCGATTCAACATTCACAGGTTTTATAATCATATGCACAGTAGCTACAGTTAAGTTATGGCAATGGAAATATTAGGTCCCAAGCTCCTCCATCTGTGCAACATATTATATATAGGACATGAGAAAACAAATACAATAAATAAATAAAATAAAACTGTATGTAGGGGGAGAATAAAGAACTCACTCAGCTGTTCTTCCAGTACAGTCTGACTGCAGTGGTACAGCTGTACAACCCCCACGGCCCTTGGTAGACCCCCACACACATAGACTGTTATACCCCTGTGCAATAACACTGTCTGTAAATACACAACTTTGTGCAATATACACGCATGTGCAGTATACCCTTATGCAATTCATACTAACAATCTGTAAACATTACCATCTATCTCTTTAATTTTAATCAACTTATTTATCTGCTGTTTGTTTTTTTAACTTACTGTATTCTTCATTATTAATAACGTGTGCATACTTTGCTATTTTTCACATGCAAGTCTATTCTCTTCAATGTATCTGCACTATACTCCTGCTGCTGTAACAATATAAATGTCCCTGTAGCGCAGTGGTTCTCAAACTTGTTCTGTCATTCCCCACTTTGAACTGGTGGGCCTTTTCAAGCGCCACCTGTTCCTCATCGCTCCAATAAAATGGTAGGCCAAGCTTAAAATTGTCAAATGTATCGTGTAGTACATATGCCGGGCCTGTAGCGGATACAACCGTTACCGTTCTCTTGTGTGGCTCCAGCCTTAGTTTGGATGCATCAATCTGATCTGTTGGATCAGTGTTGGCCCCGAGATGGAGCTCATTGAGCAGAGCCAGGATCAGCGGGTCATCAATGAACTACTTTTAATAGTTACAATTATAGCTCGTTATGCTGCTGCTGTAACTCAGCACTTCCTGTATGTGCTGCACAATAACGGCTACATTTAATGTGAAGGCAGTGGTAGACCTTTAGTGTGAATGTTGACAATGCTTCTTGTAGCTAAGATTGGCTCTATCTAGTTTTATATTTTCTCCATGTCAGGTGGAAGTTACCTCTATTTTTAAGATATGTTTAAAAGAAAGTCAGACTACTAAACGAGTAATATATTAAGTTATGTCCTCTCTAGACACTATACAGCAGATGTGTAAAACCATAATAAGGCTAAAACATAAGAAAAGAAGAAACACATATATTTGAGTGGATAAGCACAGCAGTGCAGTATTGGCTCTGATCACAGCACCTCAGCTATAAGCAGGAGTTTATCTTCTCACAACATCAGCAGTCCACTAGAGATTCAGAAGAGCTCCAGCCTCATGTTTACTCACATAACAATAAGGTTCATTAAGAAACGCTTGGGTAAAAGGGGGCAAATGGTATTAAATCAGTACTAAGTGTAAGGGCGTTTTTCCATGTATATTATATTATCTAAATATTGATTTAAAAAGCAGAACTCCATTTTGTTAATTCTTATTACTTGGAATCTGTTGAAATACAATTTTGACAAACATGTAATCTAAAATATACTTGTGATTAAAAAGGAAACATTAATGCATGACATGTGTTGACAGCTAATGCAATGGGGGCAAATGCATAACAATGTCACATGAATATGAAGCATTTACCCAAACTAGGCTGTCCTTTCTGGCTGATACATGCAAGGAGGGGAATGAATAAAATATTTGATGAATTCATCAATAGAATCTTTAGTTAAGGGTTGATTTTACTCTTTTAGAGCAATGTGGTTCTAAATAGAAAATGCAGTAAAATCTGATATTGATGTGGTGATCATCATAAGGGCACAACTCAACTAAAGACATACACATTGGGTCCCTGTGTCAGATACATGACAATGCATGACCAGTATTTACTGTATAAGATAACATATTTTAAAGGTTGCATGTTGGTTGGGATACTTGATTCTTACATGGTGGGCTGTAAGCTAGTGTTAAAGGAGAGATGTTGCTGCATGTTAACAAGATGTACAGGTCCTGGCCCTCTCTGTGGAGGAGGGACCTGTCCGGTGTGTCATCTTAACCTGATTTACCTTCATCCTCTCCCGGCACTGGGACGGGGTCCTCTCGTACCCCAGCTCCGACAGGGCTCTGGACACCCGCTCGTACATGGCAGGACCGGGGGCCTTCCCAGAGAACACGGTGCCCGCGACCTCCAGCTGCTGCATCCTCGCCTCCGTCAGCCTCTCGTTGCCCCACACCGCGATAAGGGCGTTCGTCTCGGACGGTGTCCACGACATCCCCCGGCAAGCCGTGAAGCTGTTGGAGGATGAGGCCGCCGTCCGGCCCGCGGACCCCGAGCCCACGTTCAGAGGCGAGAAGCGGTTCGGGGTAGAGGGGCTGGAGTGGTACTGGTTACTGTCACTCAGGTCCTCCGACTCGGGGGACGGCACCTCGGTTTTCAGGATCTTTAACGGCGTCGATATCTCTGGAGAGTGGTCCGCGGTACTGGACGCCGCCATGTTGCCTCTGTTGCTAGGGGGAGGGGG